GGCTGAAATAGGCATTCATAACAACCCGTCATCCAAGAAATCACTGCCATAAAGTGATCTGTCTTTATCACCAATGTCCAGAAAAAACAGAACAAGCAGCATCATGGAACCCATGAGAAACAGCTCCAGAAATTAAGATTTTACCGTATTTTCTAAATAAAACAGGACTAAATTTTTTCTTTCATATTTTTTGCCAAGCATCTGATGCATTTTAAGAGAGTTTTTGGGTAAGATAATTACTTAACCATGTGGACAGAGTCACTTAAACCAGCTGTTTTATAACAGTTGAGTAATTCTGACTATAACAAACTACTCTTTAAAGGCATGCTGCTTTTCAAATTCTAAGACTAAACAATTTGAAGATGTTTCTTTTCTTAATCACACCACCTTCTGTTTTGCAGGGGAAAATCCCATACCACTCTTCCCCAGCTCTTCAACTTTACTCCTGCAGAGTCCAATATGCAAGACCAGGATCAAAGCAACGAGGGAGAGGCTGAACTGCAGAGTGAAAGTTTATTCAGCTTGACAGCCAAGCTATCCCTCAACGCTGCTCCTTAGTTGCACAGTCCGCTTCCTATCATACAGATAGGCAGCCAGCCAAGTCCTAACATGGCACAGAACAGGAAAGAGAAACCAAAACAAAGTGTTTCCATAACCTATTCACACAAGCTCCTAGAGGTCCACTAAAGTTGAAACACAGAGACTTATCAAACTGGCCCACTAACACCAACTGTAGGTCTCCAACGGGCAAAAGCTAAACCTGAATGGTAATAATTTTATAAGGAAAACAGAAGAAAAAGAAGGGAAGAAAAGAAAGAAAAAGAAAGGAGATAATTTCAATAATGGCTCCACTAGCACAACTTCACTCTGCTTATCACTTGGTCACACAGCTTACCTTCAAAGTAGTGGTGCTTTTGTCAGATTTGTCCTTTCCCTCTTTTTCTTTACTACTTTTTTTCTTGGAGGTGGAGCGTTCTCTTTCTCTTCTTTCATTATTTGTATCTCTTTCTCTTTTTTTTTCTTTCTTGTTCCTGTTTAAGAAAATTTTTACTCAAATCAGAATTTGATCCAACAGCAACAACCTTCAAACCATTTAAGTGCAAACTAAACTCTCATCTGCGGGTTTTCCAAAAAAAAACAAAGTGTAATCAAAATCCCTTCATAAAGACAAGGGGATTTTTTGACTGAAGAGAGCTAAGGAATGCACGTGTTCAGTATGCATGGTATTTGCGAAGAGAAAACCAAATTATTTTGTTTAATTACAAAGCCCTGATGAAGGGCTTTTATTGATTTGAAGCAAACTTGCATTGCTGACAGATTTGAAACTCTCTAGTCGAAAGCATACCAAAGCTCAAATCCATGAAGGTTTTTGTTTTGGTTTCGTTTGGTTTTAAATTAGAACTAAATAATACTGACCAACTGAAATCATCTGAGACACAAAGGTAGTAACAAAATGAAAATATTATAAATTCTTTCTCCTTTACTGCTCTTTAACTTTTATGTTTACATCAAACTGACCTTCTTGGAGAAGGAGTTCGTGAAGACTTTCTTTTTGTTGTTTTGGATGTTTTAGGAGACTTGGAGGGACTTCTGCTCTTCCTTTTACGCCTTTCTCTACAGGAAGGAAAATTCAAGATCATGAAAGAATAAAAATAATAAACTCAGGAACCAGATAAAAACAGAAAGCTCTTAACATGATCTGACACAACTAAGTAAATATCCCTGAATTTAACATTGTATATCACCAACAATATATGAACTGTACAAAGCAAAAAAAAAATTTCCTATGTTTTAGTTTGGTGGCAAAGGGGAGGCTAGAAGTGGGAAAAAAAAAGGTTGTGCCCTTTCAGATTTTAGTTTTTTGTTTATTCTCACATGCTTTCACTTATACCTGATAACAATGGAAACGCACTGAATTCACTAATACTGTGTTAAGTAAGAGTTTCTTCAGTCAGGAAAATAATCCAATTGAATGAAGAGCCACATTAAGACAAAAGGCATAACTTGAGCAACACGAACTTCAACACGTAACATGACAAGCTGAAGATCACTGTAATTTCAGTTCAGCCTGACTGAAGCTTAATTCCTAAATACATGAGCTAGCATTCTTATTGGTTTAGAAGCAAACAGTGCAAAATGAAGCTCAAGATGTTGTCCAAATCAGAATAAGTTAATATCTGTTGTTTTTCTAGCAGTCCTTGCTCAGCAAACAGAATGTTAACATTCTGTAAAAACACTGAAGAGTTCGCCGTATTTTACAAAACAGCTGTTTAACATAGATATATGGCATTTGCTGAAGTTGCTATTATGGAGTCTGATCTTGAATAGAACAAAACATTAAATAACTGATTGCAAACATACTGAGGCACATGTTAAAATAAAGCAAAAACTGAGCCAGTAAAGCTTCATTCAGCATAAACATAGAACCTATCTCTGTCAAAGTAAGATGATTTTTTCCTATCACCTCTTCATAGAGTAGGAAAAGTGGACAGGAAGAACCATCAAAGAAAAATAGGGAAGTTAAAAACTAATTGAGAGGGCACTTCAAGATATGGCACAAAAGCTACACTTATGCATACCAGCTTTTGCAGTTCATACCATTAGGTGTGAACATTTGTATCTTCAGTATTTAGAAAGGCCAAGAAATCAACATTTGTTAGATAAATTACAAAAGGATATATTAAGATATGCCTAGTATCACTATCTGGATTGATACTCTGACAATACCATCTACTGTGACCTCCTGAAGCTGCACAGGACAAAATTTCGCAACTATTTTGTTCAGCAAGCTCTTAAGTTTCATTTGATCTTTGGTAAACAAAAATATAAAGTGGCCTCAAAATCATGGGAAAATAACACAATCGTTGATCAGCTGTTCACTAGTTAACATGCATCTTATTTTTAACATCTTCACATTTATCATCACCTTTTTTCAAATGAGGATACTGGAAACTGATATATTATTCTGACAGTGCTCCCACCTGGGCTACATTGAGTACATCCCCACTTTATTTTGTTTTCCAGCATATATATCTGTGAGTAATCAAGTGCCTTAGTAATTCTGTTCAAACTAGAAATCATGTATTCATGAAATCTGATTTTCAGTTTCTGCTATCCATATTTCAAGTTGAAGAACTACAACCGTGTCTGACAGTATTTGTTCCCATCTCTATTAGATTTGTCTATACAAAGATTTTTCTGCACCTGTTTTTTTTAATGCTTTTAAGCAAAACTTAAGAAAAAACAAGTCTGACTATTTTGATGGTGATCCTGTGTCTCTTAATCATACACAGAACTAATATTCCATACCTATCTCCCCTGCTAGCCTGTAGATGTCTGTTGGAAAGGGAGACAGATCCTCCTTTTCCTCTAGTCTGTGTATATTCCTTCAGCTAGGAATCACAAATAGCCATCTGATTTCTAGTATTTGCATGCTGTCTGTCAGTAAAGCAAGGTCAGTTGCCACCTAGTTCTCAGGAGGTCCTGTATGTCCTATTCCACCTTCACCTCTTCTCCAAAAAGGTGACTATTCGTCTACTCTTACACTCATCAGGTAAAGGATCAGCAGTCTCACCTCAGTGCTGCATTGTAAATCCAGGCAGCTGAAACGCCAGTTTGTTGGATAATCTTCTCCAGAAAGGTTTGTAAACATTTCAACTAGGCAACATCAATCACCAAAGTAAACAGATACCCCTAAATGCAACCTAACTGGAACTCTGTAGCCCAACCTATTCACACTTACTTTTCAGAGAACAACAGAATTACTGAGGTTGGAAGTGCCCTCTGGAGACCACCTAGTCCAAACTCTCCCTCCCCCACCTTAAAACAGGGTCAACTACAGCAGGTTACTCAGGGCCACATCCAGTCAGATTTTTAATATCTCCACGGATGGAGACTCCACCATCTCTCAGGGTAACTGGTTCCAGTTTGCCCAGAAAAAGCACAATTTAAACATTAGAAAAAAACCTTTATTTCCCATATGTCAATATGTGTCTACTGCCTCTTAGCCTGTCACTGGCCCCCACTGAAAAGTCTGGCTCTGTCTTCTTCACACTGGTAAGATGCTGCCTCAGCCTTCTCTTCTCCTGGCTAAATAATCCCAGCTCCCTCAGTCTCTCCTTGTATGACGATGCTCCAAGTCCTTTATCAGTTTCATGGCCCTTCACTGGACTCACTCCAGTATGTCTGTGTGTATCTTGCCATGGGGAGCCCAGAACCGGACACAGGATTCCAGACTTGGCCTCACCAGTGCTGAGGAGAGGGAAAGAATCACCTTCCTTGACCTACTCACAACACTCTGCCTAATGCAGCTCAGCATACTGCTGGCCTTCTTGTCTGCAAGAACCCCCAGGTCCTTTTTGGCCAACCAGCCTTCCAGCCAGTCAGCCTCCATGCTGTACTGGTGCAATGGAGTTATTCCTGCCCGGGTGCAGGACTTGGCCTTTCTCTTTATTCAACTCCATGAGATGCCTCCCAGCCCATTTGTCCTGTCTGTCGACGTCTCTCTGAATGGCACCACACTCCTCGTGTACCAGCCTCTCCCCAGAGTCTGACTGCAAACTAGCTGAGGGTGCACTCTGTCCCACTGTCTAGGCCACTGATAAAGATGTTCAACAGTACTGGCCCCAGCATTGATATTCTAAGGATAACGCTATATCTGAAGAATTGTAAATCTGTATTAAAAAACTGTATTTCTCTCATCCTCCATCTTCAAAAGAATATTGTCCTTGTTTAGTAACATCTGTATAAAAAAAATTAACTTCATATCAAAGTAGGGTTTTGTACTGTGAGTCCACTAGAAGAGATGCACTAATTTTCACTAGAATTCTTTGCCCAGCTACATGGCATTTGAGCCTTCCACGTTCTTAAATAGCAAGATCCTGAAAGGAGAACATAATAGTTGCAAATCAGAGTATGAATTTTTGGTAACATCCAGGTAACTACACTTGCTACTTAACATTAGGAACTAGGTCTGCCACCAAGGTTCTTATAGAAGCTACACATTGTTAAAATCTTAAATCTTTTTTTCTACACTTATCTAATTCAACGCTCCTGAGGCCTGCAGACAGAAAATGTGGTCTCAAAGCTGGCAGAACTACCTCTACTCTCTATAGGTCTTCAACCCGCGAAATAATGTTACAAATGCATTAAAATAAGAAGCTGCATATGCTTAAAGAAGCCACAGTATTTTGCCCACTAACCTCCAAAACAACATGGACGTTTCCTGTAACGGAAACAGAATGTTCAGAAACAATTACACCCTTTTCTGCCTTGTATGAACCATGAACTCCTGAGTTTTGAGGACTGTGGAAATTTTGCTTTTGTCCAGTGAAATGATTATAATAGGTAGAACTTTTCCCAATTCATCCAGCATTTCGTTCTCTCAAGGTAACAGATAAAATTTGGTATCTGAATTTGATATGTGATAGTACTGAACTCCCTAATTCCTGAGGTATTCAAAAAGGACTTTTTCCACCAAAGCTTCTGAACTTAAGTTAGCTGCAAGTCTTTTAGAATATGGCTGAGTTAGTCCACTTACAGAGCCTATAATCAACCTCACAGCCTCCTTTTGCTGTACTGAATTTATCCAGACTTCCACCTAGTTTAGCATCTTTCAGAGGCGAAAACTACAGCTACAATAATTTGAATGTTTTCCTGTTTAGCATCAATCTAGCATCAATAAGGAATGTTACTTTTTACTGGCCATCTAACCAGCTAAACAATGTATCCTTATCTTCCAACCGAGATACATTCACCTTTCGAATGGCTAGCCAGCCAAGTGACATGCTTGCTTCCTGCTCTTCAGCCATCCAGCTGAAGAGTGGCAAGTACTATCACCCAACTGTTAGTAAGTACTACAGACCAACACTGCACAGTATGTAAGTAACCAAGGAACTATGTAACAGTGATTCGAAATTTCATCAGGACAAAGATGATGTGTGACGTCACTTTATCAGAACTTTTGGATGGCTCCAACGCAGAGAAATGGCACAAGAATCATTTACTTACTGTCCTCAAGGACTATACTATATGGTTATGTGAAAGGCAAGCACCAGCAGCCCAACAAGAAACTATGTTCTATCAGGCATCATACAGAGCTCTTTGTAATACATTTTACTTTATAGGAAAATCTACAAAACAGAAATAATACAAATTTAATTAGTAACACACATGGTGATATCGATACATAAAAACTAGGATGGTGCCTCACTGAACTGACAAGTCAAAAAAAGTGTGAAAGAATTCTAAACAAACCTGCTGGAGCTACGAGATCTTCTTGAAGAGCTATAGCTTCTTGGGGGTGTTCTGGATCTCTTCTCTTTCTTCTTTTTATCATCTCTCTCTTTTTCTCTTTCTCGTTCCTTCTCCTTATCCCCATCTTTTTCCTTTTCTTTGTCTCTGTCCTTCTCTTTGTCCCCTCCTTTGTCCTTATCTCCCTCCTTGTCCTTAATCTTCTCTCTGTCCTTCTCTCCTTCTTTCTCAGTATCTTCTTTTTCCTTGTTCTGGTCTACCTCGTCCCGGTCTTTTTCCTTCTCCTTATCTTTCTCCTTTTCCCTGTCCTTGTCTTCTCCTTGTCTCGGTCTCTCTCTTTCTCCTTTTCTTTGGCCTTTTCCTTTTCCTTGACCTTTTCTTTGTCTCTTTTCTTGTCCCTGTGAAAAGCCAAACACAAATCTATTAATTCATCTTTGGACTTCCCAATTAAAACTACAACTAACTCTTTAGCATACATTAATTGCTCAAGATAAAGTATATGTCTCTGTTGAAAAATAGTAATTAATCAATATTTTAATTTTCCACCCCTGTTCACCATGAGGGAAAGGTTATATAGGCTAGGAAAAATATGGAAACCAAGTTGGTGAGGGGGAGGCCAAAATCAAATCAAACTGTGATCTTCAGAGCGATGTTATTACACTCTGAGAGAATATGTCTCTTCACAGTTATTATACATACACAAATTTTCTACATTTTGTCAGAAGTGAGACAAACTCTACGATCTGTAAATCCACTCTTTACTAAAAGTGTGTCCACATAAAATGGACTGCAGATTAATCACCCTCACATGAATAATGACAGCTGACGGACAGAAGTCTTTATACTACAGTGTTCTCTCACAGATATCCTACAACTGCCTGGAAGTCCAACAACAATTAATACATAGAAATAAAAAACAGGGATAAAATTTCACCAAACAAATTCCCTCAAAAGGCAAACATAAGGTCAAAACTCAATAAAGACAATTCAATCATCTGTAATACCACGATGTTCATAAAAATGATATATGTTCATAAAAAGAACAGTGAGGAAAATTCCAACTGGTGTTCTAGTCATCAAGACAAACAAAAATTGATTAGATCACAGCTTTGGCTGGAAGATTACCTGTTGGTATAGGATTATTTGCAAGTGCAAGACTCTTATCTTTCCTTTCTAGCAGAGAGACACACAACTCCTAGACCTGCCTCTACGACATATGAAAATGAACAGTTGTTCAGAGAGAGAAACAGGAGAAAGCACAAAAGAGAAGTTAATTAGCAGGCCTTGTTACACAGCAACACAGAAGTTGCTGTGTCCATTGGTATTGGTACCTATTTATTCTAGGATTTTTAAAGATTCTCAGACTCCTTCACACATGAAAGGTCCTAAGCACAGCCCCCACCTTTCTTCAACAGAAGAAGTGTTTGGCTGTATCTTCTTCTCAGCTGCTAATAAATAGTAGGCTGTTGTATGCTCTGTGACCTGACAACTTTGGTTCCCATCAGCCTTTGGCAAATACTTCTTTAGAAGTCTCAGAGAAGGAATGTAAGATCATAAAGATGAAGCAGCATGCAATCCCTGCAATAGCAGAGTCTCACAATGACCCAAGAAGTGCCTTCCAGTTAATTTATCACAGAGATTTCATTGGACTTCCCCTTTCCAGTGAGCAGATATCTCAAGAAGCTCCAGACAACAACAACAGATAATCAAAAGGATCCATCAGTAAAGCCCAGCTAGCTACATAGGTTATTCCTGTTTCCACTGAGGTCCACAGATCTGCTCTTTCCCACAAAACTTCTTCCCTCAAAAAACAAGAGGCAACTGCACAACCTAAGTATGAAGCTCCCTTTAAATGAATCAGGAGAATTACAGAGATGAAACAGAGAGAAAAGTACCAAGATTTCTATTCATGAAGCTAATTTCATAGCCACTTTTGTTTTGTGAACATTCACTACTTCACTCCTCAGAAAATTATGTTATTATCTTGTTGGAATTTCACAGTTCAATAATTAGATGATCAGACTTAAAAATTAATAGAATAGGTAAAATATAGGTGTATTAGATCCTGAAATGCAAATATGCCATATAACTAACACATGCATTTGTGCCCACAGCATTGTATGGCCAATATGAGATAGCCAAAGGCGAAAACAGAAGTTCATGCACAAAAACTTCATGTATGTTCTCAGAATGCGGGATAAAGTTCAGCCTGAATCCAGCCTTCTCAACAGCTATAGATCGAACAAGTGTCATCCACTTTTTTGTGGGTTGCACAGGCTACACAGAACACTCCTAATCTATTGGTTAAAGCCTGGAAACTAAAGTTACCTATTTTTGGTCAGCTTGCATGTTGGTATAAATGTAGACTAGACTATCAAAGTTTAGGTACCTCAGTGTGGTGATTTAAGCCCTGTAGGCACCATATGAGCTATTCTGAAGAAAATCACCTCTATCACAGTCAAAACCAATACACTCAGCATTAAAATTTAGTTTCTATTCTTTTGTCCCACAGACAAAGCCCAGCGACAGGCTAAAGCCTTTAGAGATTCCACCCTTTACCATCATCTAAAGGTTTGTTGGATTTTTTTCAAAAACTCTGTACTGCGTGCTAAGAAGAACAGTATCATTTCTTGGGAACGGAACTCACCGAGAACGAGAGCGACTTCTTGATTTCCGCCTTTCCCTAGATCTAGACCGTTTTTTCAGGGGACTTCTGGATCTGCGTCTGTCCTTGTGTCTTGAGAGTGATCTGTTGCCAGATCTACTTCTATATTAACAATGCCAGAAGAAAATACTTTAATATTGAAACTTCATAAAAATTAGGTCAACTAACAAAGGAAAAAAACCATAAATCTCGCCTCGCTACATAAAATCATATATGGTTACACCTCGGTAATATACTGCCTACCAACATTTTTGCAAATATGGATACTTTATGGTTCACCCGGTGCACATGCCCTCCTTTGAACAATGCACCATTTAAGTAATACCAATGTTTCATAATAACGTCCATGAATATTTGGGAACACATAAATTCGTATCATATTAGGAAAGCTGTCCTTAGTAAATTACAGTGCATAAAATCTACTATAGACAATTTCTAGCAGCTTGTAAAAATAATTAGTTACATTTTGCTTCTTTTCCAGGCCCAGTCACTTATTGCAGTCTTGGTCACTGAAGAAAGATGGCTTTAACTGGTCTCTTTTTGCTATGTTCTCCAGCCTTACAATTTAAATGAACTTTAAAAAACCAAACCAAACCAAACCAAACAAAAATCCCATGCTATCTGTGGTTCAGCATTTAGACAAGTTACCTCTGCAGTTGAAAGGATTTGTTAGCATGGAATTCAATTGTAAGAATTCTCAAGGAAAGGAATGAGCATTTACTACATGATAAATATGGAATGCAAATAATGTGCAGATACTCTGATAAAAATCCAGTTAAAGTCTTCTGGTAAACATATATATTATACTCGCAGATTTGATGAAAATAAGACTTTCAAAAATAACTATATTATTTTTTCCAAAATATTCCCTATTTTTGGAAGATCATACTCCCTAGGAAAGCAAAAAAAAAAAAGCTCAATTTGAACATTAAGTTTCAAAGAACCACATAATTGGATACTTTGCCTGAGAGGTTACAGTAGCATAGAGCTTAACTTACAAAAAATACCAGCTCCACCTGTCTTCTGCAGCTCAAGACACACAGAGTAATATACACCAAGAGGGGAGGAGAGGCAACTGTTTTTTACCTACAGCTTTCCTCTGCTTATCAGTGCAGAAATACAAACTAATTACAGGGCAAATTAATTACAATTGAGTCGAAGTAAGATCTTGAATAAATTTTATATCATAGAGATGAAAACAATTTAAGTATTTTATAAAACAGTAAAATAGGGAAGTGGTAAGGATAGTTTATTCTTAGGGATGAAGTTGCCTCAACAGATCAGACTGGCCTTTTTTCAGCATGTTCTCAAAACTGACAGTAGCAGTGGCAAACCATTTTAAAAAAAAAACCAAAATGTAACCATCAACAGCTGTCTAAAACACAGGTCTTGCACAAGTTAAAAAATGCAAGTTTATCTTCTAAAAATCAATTTGGTTTGTGTCAATACAAAATAGTATGGAGATTACTGCAGTTATACAAAACAAAGATTGTTTTTCAGTTATGTCCTGAGTTAGAGAAACAGCAGAGAAGCAAGCAATAAGGAAGTGACCAAATGGTTCCTCTTGCATTAAAAAGGTACCTAATATTTTGATGTCATTAGATAACACGTACTGTGCTGTCTCGCTATTGCAAAACGGAAGCCTTCACTTATATCACATTTGTTTGGTAGTACAATTGATGATAACTCCCTCTGGCCAGCTTTTCTGTATCTAAAAGAATTCTAGTTGCCTTGTTAAAAGACAATGTATGAAAGGATGCAACAGAGCTGTTGCTGCAACACCAACAACACTCACCTTTTTAAAGTGTAAGCTGTCGAATAAATTCTGAATCTTTTTTTTCTTTTTTGATACTTAACATAGCCAAACTTCTTTAGATTGATCATGTAAATGCTCAGAAGACATTCCTGACATTGAAAGAATCTGAACCATTTCAGGAAGCATTTGTACGTCTCACACAGCAAGACTATCTCATTTTTAGAAAAAATCTTAATCGGTGTACTTTAAGGGTAATCTAGTAATTTTATTTCCTCCCATATTCCAAAGTATGTTTCAGAACTGAACAAATTTAGCAAAGCAAACAAAATCTGAAAAATGAAAAACTGCCCCTAAAGCCTTTTTCTTCTGCTTTTAAAACCTTAGCTTTACATTTACAGTACATTAAATGAAAATACTGCATTCGTTAACTCGATATTTAGAAGTTCAGGACATCAGAAACTTTCTGCTAGCAAAACCAGCTAGCCTAGGGTGTTAACAGTAAACTACATGTTCGATCCACAAAACACAGGTAACTGTTTATTTTTAAAATACAGGTCACAAAATGATATTATGCTACACGGCACAAAACGTACCATGAAACCACAGAAATGGTTATGTTACATGGCACAAAAAGTGCCTTCTAGTGTGTTTTAACTGAAAGGAATCCTGAAAACATTTAGCATTTAGAGGGAAAGA